ATATTCTATCTGATGGCTGTGTGTTACTACTTGTGTGCATTTGTACCAGAAATGGTCTTCCTACCAAATGCGTGTTGCTTGATGTTACAAAACTCAAAGGTTGTTTGTAGAGAAGTTTTTTTGTTTTTTTAATAAATATTAATAAGATTCCTTCGAGAGTTTTTGAAACTGTATTTTGTCTACAGTAGCAAGCTAAGTATTTAATCTACTAGACTTTATATAATTTATTCATCCAAGTCCTTACATTAGAAAGTTAATGGTCGATAAGTATCAGGGAATACCTTGAAGAAAGTTTCTTGAACTCAATTCATGATATTGCAAAGCATACATGATCAACAAAACTTTTTAGCATCAGAAAAGAAGCTCAGTAACCCCTAGCACTTTCGGAAAGTCCGCTCGGGTTATGGGGTTTCTTTTCTCATGCTTTCTTTATTTATGGAGCACCACTAATATACTGAATTTACTCTACTTTTCCATACATGGGATTGAATTAAATAAAACCTTGAAAATATAACCCCGTTTTTATGGACAAACCAGTTTTTATATATAAAAGCTATTTGATTGCATCATTTCTGTAGGAGAAACTAAGTTGCATTATATATCTAGAGGAAAGTTAAATAAAAAAAAGTACAAATTCTGCCAAAACGTTAAATAACGAGTAGACTTATATGTGTAGAAAGACAGTAATAGTATACTTAGTATTAACGAAAACAACACTAAAACACAATCTAAACAGTCAAATTCAGTTGGCTTCAAACAAAGTAAGGCAATTACAGTGGAAATCTTATATGTTTACATGAGGAACATAAATCTTATTACGCTATTCACATGGTCTAGTCCAGTGTTTTTCCAAGTAGGAGCTTCGGCCCCTCTTGGGGTCCGTAAAGCTTTTTCTAAGAGACCGCCAAAAAATGGGCCGAAAACAAAGATACTGAAATAATTTTAATTCTAAATAAACAATAAGCCAATAAAAATTGTGTTGAATTAAGTAAATGATACAGTATGTCGAAAGGAGATGTTATTGTTTTTACTACGGCACTGTTTTTCAATCGCCATGCTAAAGTTATATGTTATGGGGCCTCAAACTTTTTCTATTCATATCAAGTAAGCTTCTGACTAAAAGAGTTTGGGAATCACTGGTCTAGCTCAATAAATGAAGAAATAGGATTTGTAAAAAAAATGTATTTTTCGGACACGTTTGTTGTATAAAAAATGAAATCGAAAAAATCCTCCGTAAAACAATCAAGGTATTTGGAATTTTCATCATCAACAAATAACAACAATTCTACTACCAGTATTTCTTTCCTCAATGTCCTTATACGAAATTAAATCCTAAGGAAAATGTTTCTTTTCTTTTCTTAACTATTTCAGGGTTCTATTGCACAAGAAAGTGATCGAAACAATTCCATATAAGTGACCGTTAAGTCACTTTATTAATTAAAAATAAACAAGGTAAAAATATTGCTTTTTTTTGTAAAATGTTTACAGGATCTTTGACGAGACACACTTATGAACCTTAATTAGAACTCAGAATGAAAATAATAACGTACCGGACTCTAACTGATACAGTATATTGATGAAATGTACAGTTATTGGATAATATCCAGCTTCCATGTGTATATGTTTGATAATGGAGAAATAGATGGAAGCGTAAACCAAATCCAATTCAACTGGCGCTGTCTATTTCTATACAAGATAAATCCATAAACTGGTCTGCCAATCGGGAATTAAGGGCAATGACCGTTGGACTGTATTTAGAAATATTGATAAGAAGAGAAACAAAAAGAATCTTGCCGTTGATGGTTTCTTCCTTGAATTGTTAATCTAAATCACTGTCAATAATATCAATCAAGTTTTCAACATTTTTCATATTAACAACTTAAAATTTATTTAGTATAATAATAACATTGTGTTGCAATGTTTCAAAGCAGTGATATTTTTCTATCTCTTAAAACATATCTCTTGTTTTTCTTTGTTATTAAGGAAATATTATACAAAGGAAAAATACGAAAGTTAAAATATGTTTAATATTTTATAAATGTTTTGATTGATTGAAGTTAAAATTATGAAACAAAAATAGTATACAAATAAATGTCGAGTATTGTAAATGTTTCATTGATCCATCAGTGTTTATCAAGTTCAATTTTGCTTGATACGATAAACTACACATATATGCTCTCACATTCAGCCATTATTATTTATTATTCGACTTTCGAAGAAGATTCCTTAGACGGAACGTCATAGGAATCTTGTGAGCATTTCGTATAGAATCATATATTAACCACTCGAGTGAATGTTATACGAAGGGTAAGATATCGATTTTCATAACTGAAAGAGGTAAATGTAAGTACAAAAAACTAATACAATTTAATTTTTAATGCAAAGTTTAAATGAAAATTCCTTCATACATTGTTTCTCAAAATATAGTAATGTGCATATGCTACAAGAATATAAAAACAATTTGAAAACACCATGGACACTTTCAAGTACCTGCAACTTTTATATGCTTTATATTATCTCGTGGTGATAAAAATGAAACTTAATGCAATATCTGTGTTTAAGAATGTCCTCATATTATTGTTATTTACTGCTAAATATAAATAGTCAGTCTAATAATTAAGACATTTCTATAAAAATAATAAATACTGTTATAGGTCCATTACCACGTACAATTGATATTATTCGATGGTAATTTTCATTAAAACTTCTGATACTAACTTCAGTTCTAATTATACTAGCACAGCTCTACAAGCAAAGGTGATAGCGATCATAGATGTACAAATACTATTTTTATGAGATACTGACGTAGTCATCTTACGTATCTGAATCACACAAGTTATCTGTGAATCGTCACATCTTTACCTACAGAAAAAACATTTATTCTAATCTTTATCGTCTTCCTTTTCTGTGTTTTGGTGAATCTGTAGACAAATACAAATATTTGTACAAACTAGTCCTTATTTTTTAAATTGTTTGTACTTCAGATATTTTGAGTTATATCGATAATTTGTTTTACTTACTAAAGGATCCTCAGAAGAGTGAAATAATATAGCAACAATCAAGAAATTTAATAAGGCCACATGTTTTTATGAAATATTTTTAATATTAGGAAAACAAAATTTTGATGAAAATGTTTCCATCACAGCAACCACTTTTGTAACTGTCGACCTTAAACGATAATCTCCAAACTTTAACCAATACCTTGAATATTTTATACACTGTTTTTAGAATATATAGGCAAGCTAATAAACTGAGTTGTATTAAAACCTTCGTCACAACTTACAAACACTATTAGCAAAACAATGCATTATTACGGCCAGGAAAACACAAAATAAATGTTGAATTGAATTGCATGATTCAAACGGTATCGTTGAATTTTCTTCTTTAATATCTCTGCTTATTAATTAATCAAACTTCATATGAACGATTAATGTGTGTTATTACAGTTGCGTATTGCCGCAAATGCAGGCAGTGATGACAAAGGCAACATTTTTTAGAAAATATATATTAGCCTAATGGAGGAATTTCCATCAATTCAACTGTACAATGCCGTTCCGGTTAGACATATGACTGAAGGAATGTATTTTAATGTATTATAAAGGTTACTCATTTAATGAAATTGCTAGGCATGAAGAGCCTAGTTACATTGCATTATAAAAAAGGATCCACCCAATGTTCTCAGTGGAAACGGAAAATTCTCACTATAGAAAGTTTAGGAGAGTATCGGGCTGCAGAATCACATATAGAGGATAGCTATCATACGCAAATTGAATTATATGGCTACGAAAGAGAACGATCCAATCCAAAAGGACATAAGTTGGCATATATTTAAGTACCTTTACCAATTAATAAACATTAATTTGAAGTTCACGATGGATCACAAGAAAATCGTTCACAAGCTGCAAGTTACATTTCAAAATCAGTATTTGTTTTCAGGAAAAAAATGGATAAAAAATTGGAATTGTATAATTCGATCACAGCTCAAATGGACCTTCGTGCCTTTAATCTACTATAAACGATCTTGGAAGTCAACATCCAGAGGTGTACGGAAAGTTTATCAAGATACGTGAGCTAAGATTGACCGCGCCATCCTTAACAAAAGTTTATTGCAATGGAAGTTGCGCGGCCAATGAAAAGTTCGCCGAATAATAGAGAATGTACTTCCAAAGCCAACATGGGTTTTTGGAACATCTGTATTATAAAATAAGGTTAATCGTAGCACATTAAGGTTGCTTTAAACTTAGCTCTCATTATATTTCAAAATTAGATTTCTTTGTTTACCTTGTGAGACTGTATTTATTTTCTGTGTTTCTATAAAACTCTAAAAAACATATATTAAAGCAATTATTGTTTTATTTAATACAATAAGCATAGCATACATTGATGACAATAGATAAGTCGTCAGTTTTAATATTTGTAACATAAAAAACAAGCGAAACTATGCATCGTTCTTCCTTCTATACTTATGATATTTTACTACCAAATTAATTGCATTCAAGATATTGTAAAACAGTATTATTTAAATGTTAATTGTTTGTATAATTCATTTGTTTCTTGTTTAATTAAGATAATACATGTTAACATATTCTACCAATAACCGCTGTGAATAATATATAATGCTACATAATACCCGCATGAATTTATTTCTTTTTTTATTGTTAATCTAAGTCAAAATTCAAACGTAGCATTTAAATATCGTGTGGTAGTTGCTATAACGTAATATATATTTGTTTATATCTTCTAAACATTGAGTTCCATCCCTTGTCATCAGCCTAGTGAAGATGATGATGATTAATATAGTTCAAAACTACAGCCGTCAACTGTCATTTCTGTTACCTACTGTGTACTTGATGCTACTTATATTAAATTCTGCATAAACCGCGCGAATATCTAAAAGATGTAACTATATGAAAAATAAGACAACCAAAAACTTTCGTAATCTAGGAGTGAAAAAGATTAGTTTATCAAGAATGATATATATATCAAATAAACTTCCTTACCTAAAGACATTTAAAGCTCCACTGGGTGCTGGTTTTATCTTCAACTTGCTGCAAGGATAAGAGCTGATGTTCCCACAATTGCAGTTCTTAGCTAGCCATGAAGATCGTTACCAATAGCGTGTAATATGTTATAGTCTGCAAAACCACAAAATGAAGTCAACGTGAGTACTAAATCCTAGCTCAAATACTCTTTTTTAATGTCAGAGTTGAAGGTCAGCGTAAACAGAAAACTACAATATCATAGAGACACAATTCAACCTACTCCTATAATCTAGTGTTTTGATATCCTCGTCTATAATTTATCTAATATCATAAAAAGTATTTCCCATTGTCCGTCATAAAATTGGCACATAACATGCTTGTATATATGTATATACATACCATAAAAGTCTTAAACGATAATCGCCTTCAAATAAAAATCTATTGCTTTCCAAATTAAGCAAAGTTATCTAAGTTGTCTTGAAACAATAGTGAAAACAATGTTTTTTGTCCTGTGTTACTTGTCATAGATGTATGTCTAGGTTCAACGCTAATATTACGTATTACCAAAAAAACATAAGTCATTAGCAGGAGTTACTGCCTTCTAATTGTTTACTTCGTTCACATCATTAAAGTAATTCTTACGAATTCATATTTATTAGTGGTGTTATTTAGATTAGTTCCTATTATTTTCCCACAAATTACAAACACACCAGCCATTAACGTTTTACTGAGTGAATTAAATATTTTAAGATAATCGATAAAAGAGAAGATTTTTCAGCTACTAAACAAAACACACTAGCATGATTATATGTTATATTGGTGGTTGAAAATCTTACTGTAAATATTATCTATTATATGTGTGTTTGCGCTAGCATCCATCACCCAGGGTTAGCTGGCTCGATTACCGCAATATTTGGTATAGTAAATGGAAACTGTCAGATGGTGTACAAGGGCTATTTTATTCTAGGATTTTTACCCAAGAAGGGAGATAAAAAACACCTTGAAATAGAGCATATTTCTAATTTCGACTTTGAATTAAAAGAAACAAGTACTTAATCAGTTAAATGAGTCAATTAATAATTTCTACAAAGCAGAGTATGCAATTAGCATCTTATGAGGTCACTAGGGATTTAATAACAAAAGAAAAAGAAAGGAGAACATTATCTAATATTTTTCTCTATACAATTCTTGCTAATATATATATATATAATGTTATTGCTCTTACACAGCATGGTGATAGGGTGAGACTTTTTCCCGGATTCGAATCTATGTTAAAGCATTTGATTTTATGAATATGTAATATTAAAAGCTTATTTGAATTATATTTATTTATTATTAATTATATTTCACTAAACATATAATGGCAAACATTTCTGAGAATTAATGAAAATTACTTTTGTTGTGATTCTAAAATTCGATATCTGATAAGTTATGTGAATGTTTAACTTGTGTCTTTGGGAACATTTTGAAATTACTGGTTTGATGTTTCACGGAAATTTTCAATTCCTTTCTTGTTTCTGTAGAGTTGCATGATAATTAAACAAATTGTGTCAGGAGGATTTTGTCATAACTGTTCATATATTGGTAACCAATAATCACAGAAGTAAATGACAACTCGTTTCACTTTATACGGGTCTGAAGAAGATCTATTTCAATTTCACGCAGTTACCGTATTGATCTTTTGATAGTGTTTTTAGATCCTCAGAATTGACGACAGCCCCATATGGGACATGCGGTCTTCATAGCTGTGTCGAAGTTTCATTTCTCTACCGATGATAAACGGTAATACGTTTAAAAAGCAAGAAAGTCGACATTATTTCCAGTGCAACATTCTCAATATGACTACTGTGGTAGAGGTTTAGTTAAGTTAACTGGAGGAGTCAGAGTAAATGTGCATATACAAGACGATAAAAACCCTATAACCCGAACGCTTATGAAAGCGCTCGGGTTATAGGGTTTTAATCATTTTGTATCAAGACTTATTGGACCTACGTGTTTTTCTGACATCATGAATTTTCATATACAGATATTATCATATTTCTGAAGGGTAGTTACATTATTGACTGATGCATGACGTGATTTTTAATCCAGTTGATAATATTTTCCAAGATGCTATTTCTCCAGACTTGTTCTAATATATTATAATATAATGAACAATACTGATAACAATACTATGAATTACTTTGAACAAGATGCTTTAACTTCATAAATTGACAGTTAAGAAGTTCTGATTAAGATCTTCTAGAATACATATGGGATCTTCCTAATCAACGTGTGCACTAAGGTCTTTACCTATCACACAACGTTAGAGAGCTCATCCACAAACTAGTGATAAGTATGTCTATGTCCTTATGAATACAAAAACTGTAAAAATGCCAGCGTAGATTATAGTAGTTTTTTGAGTATCCTTATATTTTACCAAATAAGCTTATTTCAAATACGTTGATTCAATCAGACTGTGGATTTGACCATTTAAATTTCTGGGTACTAATGTTCCATTGGTTGTAACTAGCTATATATTTTCAACGAAACTGGTTCATGAACTACATGCAGTGAACATATGGTAATTCTATTACGTTATAATGCCAACTGAATTGTTTGTATAGTTGAATAATAAATAGAATAACATATAGCTCCTTCAAATTAGTGGATCACTTTCTTGTTACGCTTCTTTACATAAGGAATGGTGTAAATTTAGATAAAGTTTTATGTTGTGAAAGATGATTTACACTATATCGAAATTTTATTTCCTACAGCATAGAAATTATATATATTCAAAAACTAATAAAGTAAGAAAAAGTAAAGAAAATCTTGTGCAGCAGAAACACTTTTGGATAATTTCAAATATTGTGTTACATTGACAAAGGTTTTATGTTAACATTTATTTATAATTAACACATTTGCCATGAATTGCTCACTTAGTATCATAGTTAGGTTAGCATTGTTCAAAACATCAGTTTTCATTAAGCCTTCAGACACTTTTTATGATACAAATAGTCACACTTTCTAAACACAAGAAACAGTTGATTATTAAATCCTTACAATACTAAATTACCTTATGGCAAAAACTTTGCATGGTATATTGTATTCAACATGTGTTTATATCATCTGGACCAATCATAAAAACAATTATGCATGCGCTTTTGATGCCACGTTATCTACACACGAGCATGGCCTGAACGTTTTTAGCTAAATTCGGTTTTGTTGATACAGATGTGAATACTTCCAAATACTTCTGTGCAGTAATATCAATGTTTTCACACCACACATTGCCATTATAGTAGCAAATCTTTACTTAGAATATAATATTATCAGATATCATAAGTAATGCGTTCTTATTTTGATTGCATTTATGTCTTGTTTTACTACTTCTAGATCTGGTTACTGAATGATTAATCTGTTTTCTGATATTCACATTCGTTGCTAATCATATATCGTAATATATCGCCTTATATCTTATACTATTATATCTTATACTATTTCAGAAATGGTCGTTCTGTTATGTTAATTATGAATAATTAGCCACACATAAGGAGCATTGGATAGGGAACAATGCTGAATAATTGAAAATAAATGACTATTTCGAATAATTAAACAAACGGCACTTTGCTGAGAGGATATTTAACGATGTTACTGAAAAATTAATATTAAGGTACCTTAGAAAACCCTGGTTGAATTATGGCTTTCTGGTTTTTTCAAGGGAAGTATAAATGAATATAGATATAGGTATAATTTTACTTTAAGAACAAATTTCATAAACCAGATAGGGATCGAGCTGCGATACGCTACTTTTACGAATACCATCTGGAAAAATTAAATGCAAGTAGGTAATGCATGTACGAACACTCTGTTTGGAACGAAATGATACATATCTAAGTAAGTTTACTATAATAATATTTAGATGAGGTATTTAGATGAGATATTTAATATAATTAAGTTAGATTTAGAGACTTATTACAGCTGAAGTTTAATTATATTGTTAACGTATATATGTTTTTTACACTTTATGAAAAGAAAGTCTACCTTCCTAAAGCGTTCAGGTTATAAGCTACTTTAACTATGATTCATATACTTTGTTAATCATAATAGTTGTTCAAGTACCATGGTACGTAGTTGAGAATGAAGTTTGACACTTCAATATCTTCGTCATTAAGAAATCTCAGCAAATCGATTTATTCTTCATAAACAACTGAAGAAACGAACTAGTTAAATTAAGATGATTGATTGTTTGTTGTTAAACACTGAGCTACACACTGGACTTATACTGCTCTGCCTACCACAGGTATCGAAACCCGATTTTTAGAGTTATAAACCCTTAGAATTACCACTGAGCCAATGGAGGGCAAATATGTTTCTTAGTTTTTTATATGACTTTTTTATAATTTATTGAGTTACATATTTATTTGCATGTTTTTATATCATAATTCAACACTGATACCACGAGATGACTTATCAAAATATAGAGTTAAAAACTGTTGGCAAGACATAGCAAAAATGTAAGAATTTACCAAACAAAAATAACTTTATGTAAGTGTTATTTAGAAGAAAATAAAATGTTAGTGAAATTAATTTCTACTGATATACGACTCATTATTTTTCATTTTTCGCCAAATCGATATCATACAACAAAAATAAAATAAAAGTTAATATCCCGATTCTAAGATAAAGAGTGCAATTAACCCCATAAAACACTTATTTAGTGGTGATGTGTTTCTTTAAGAAATAATTTGATTGTTTTTTTAATGAACTCACACATCAAATTCGCAACAAGTTTGGGTTTTGTATTTATAAAACAACAAATATTTTAAATGTAACATTAGCAAGTATTTTGGACTAATGTATGCTAAATATATTAATGTATAAATATATATATATCAAATAATTCATTCTCATATCATAAAACTATAATCTTCATCTCAATATAATGATAACTGATGATAACCTCTACAATAGCTTAACGATAATGAGTTGAAGTGATAGTCACGTTAATTTATTATCCATTAAATTTCTTCAACCTTCCTGAAGAGTTAACTCTAAACAACAACAACAAAATCATCAAGCATGATAAATGCTGCAGAAAGTATTATTTTAGTTTTAATCAACCACTCGACACGTCCTAGACTGTGAGTAAGCAAACTAGTAGATGTTTTTAG